GTTTTTTAGGAATTAATAAAGTATCCTGAGATTTTTTTGAGTGACTTCACTTACTACATAAATACATTTGTAAGAAGATAATTGTGTGGGAAATAAGGATACTGTAAGGCTAATGTTTTTCGAAATCTAATTACATATATCATTAACATAAGTTTCATTCTGTTGTGATGAAAAGTAAGTCTGTAGAAAAATCACCTAACTTTGCTTCTCTGTGGTTATCCTTTGTTATTGGTGTTTAAATGAGAGTTAATAGGACCTGAGTATATAGTTCTTCTATCCATCATGATAAATCTTTGGCCTTGGATTGACAGATGTTTGCTTGGGATTTTGGGTTTATTTTGTTGCTGCTGTAAGTTTCTTATCATAGTAGGATACACATAAGGTAAAATTTGCCAACTTAACCTTTTAAATTTTTTAAATTTATTTTCATTTTATTTGAAAGGCAGAGACAGAGAGATTTCCCCTACTGGTTCACTCCCAAATGCCTGCCATAAGTAGTCAGGGCTGGGCCAGGCTGAAGCCAAGAGAGTGGAACTCCATCCGGGTCTCTCAGGTGGGTGGCAAGGATTCAAGAACCTGAATCTGCAGCCTCCCAGGATGCACATTATCAGAAGCTGGATTGGAAGTGGAGGAGCCAGGACTTGAACCAAGGCACTCCATTATGTGAATGTGGGCCAAGTGATATCTTCACTGCTGTGCCAAACTCCTGCCACCATCTTAACCATTTTTAAGTATGCAGTTCAGTGGGATAAAGTACATTTGCATTGTTGAGCAACCATCAGCACTATGTATCTCCAGAGTGGTTTCATCATCCCAAGATTAAATTCCTGCACCTTAAGCACTCCTTCCTGAGAGTACTTACCCACACAGGGGGTGGCATGGAGCACACCTGTTCCTGTGCTTTATGCTTTGCACTATGGCATCAATGTATTACCCGGCAACATTGGACAGTGGAGAGTGTGGCCTGTTTGATACTTACATATGTGAAAAATTGAAAAACCTGCGCTTTTACGATAGAATTATGACCCGAGAGGCACTGAGATCTCTCACTGATTCACTTATTGGGGATACTTGAAAATGACTGCTGTGGGTAGGCTTTGACCTTGATTAGTGAGCCTCCATAGGTGGCTATGGCTAAGAATATTTGTGGGTCTCCACATCTGTGGTATACTGGAGATGGGCAGATTGATATGATTAATTCTAGGAAGGCTTGGTCTGTTAAGAATGATTCTCTACTACCAATGAAGTTAGTCAAAACTTTTTCATATTACATGCATCAAACAGCTCTGTTCATAGTACTAGAAATAACTGAGTATGGTTTTTAAGGAACTGGTTACTCTATCTCACTGGCTCTATAAGTCATGTGGTGATCACCTTTCCTTCTTTGCCTTTGGAGCTAGGAATTTCAGAGTTTGTGGTTGACCTTTGAGGAACAACCTCATCCCTAGCTTCTCTTTGTATTCTCCTTCCCCTGCTGCTTGGCTTTGGGTTTTCTTTATTGTAATAGTCAGCTCCATGACCGACACCACCCCTCTACTCCTGGTCATTCCCTGCTATCTTCCTGCCTTACCACACTCCTCCCCGCGCTCTGTCATGCTGCTCTTTGCTTGTAATAGTTCCTGGCTTCGGCCGGCGCCACGGTTCAATAGGCTAATCCTCCACCTAGTGGCGCCGGCACACCAGGTTCTAGTCCTGGTCAGGGTGCCGGATTCTTTCCTGGTTGCCTCTCTTCCAGTCTGGCTCTCTGCTGTGGTCCGGGAAGGCAGTGGAGGATGGCCCAAGTGCTTGGGCCCTGCACCCCATGGGAGACCAGGAAAAGCACCTGGCTCCTGCCTTCGGATCAGCGCGGTGCGCCGGCCGCAGCACGCCAGCCCTGGCAGCCATTGGAGGGTGAACCAATGGCAAAAGGAAGACCTTTCTCTCTGTCTCTCTCTCACTATCCACTCTGCCTGTCAAAAAAAAAAAAAAAAAAAAAAAAAATAGTTCCTGACTTGTAACTCTTCTCCCCCAGTCTTCCTCCTTGTCAGTTTCTTCAGCTCACTCATCAGCCACAACCCTTTGCTGACACATTCTTCTCCACTCTGTAAAATTGATAGATACCTCCCCTGTGGCCTGCTGCCGCCACTCAAGCTTCTGTTATTGCACCTAGGAAAATTTACTGAACTCATTTCCTCCCTAGTCTACCTCTGCCTGACTATAGGCAGGGACCAGATCTTACTGTTCTGTGAATCCCATGTGCTTTGCACATGATGCAAGGAGAGGAGGAACGAATTAAGCAGTGGCAGATAAGCAAAAGTAAGAATTTAAAAGTAGCCAGGGAGTTTGCAATATGGAGATAATCAGTGACCTTTGTGAGTCTTCCAAGGGAGAGTGAGGAGCGTCTGATTGAGTTAGAAGGAATTTGGGAGCAAAGTTGAGAGAAGTAAGGATGGGTAGAGAGGGAAGAGGTAGAGCCAGGGAGTAAAAGGGAGATGGGCAAGAGGAGAGGGGAAACCGAGTGAGTCGAATGCTGCTCGCCAGGGAGAATGAGGGTCTGTGGTGCCCTCCCGTGGTGTACCCTGAGGGATGGTTCCTCAGGTGGCTGATCCAGGTGAAGGTAGCATGTCTTCCACTTGTGTTTTCCCGGCTTTGAAATCTTGTTTTGGGAAAAGTCTGTATTTGCTTCATGGAAATTCTTAGCATCTCTTGTTTAGTGTTTACTGTACATCTGCTTTTTGTTAAAAGTATCTGTTTATGTGGGCATGTCCCTGTCTTTTGATTTGTGTCTCTTAAATGACACACACAGTGTCCTGTGCAGAGTAATGTTTCATAAATGCTTGAGGTGTGTTTTTGATTGCTTTTTTATTTTCATGACATCTAAATTATAAACTAATAATGCATCTTAAATAACACAAACTCAGACAAAATCACTTTGTTCAATCTTCAAATTCTGAGTTTTTTCTTATGAATTTTATAATGTAGATGGATAAACCCAGCCCTCCCACCCCCAGGACTGCTGCAATCCATCATCTCTGATTCAGGCTTTGTTTCTGCCTTTCCCTTGAAGCAGCTCACTCTCTGCACCTGAACACTGTTTTTGAGGGTTCATATTTTTTCTTAATAAAGATTCACTGCTAGCACCACTTTTTCTTCCTACCCCTTGCTGATACCTGTCTGCCTGCTTCAGAAAACTGATGCCCACTCTGCCCCATGTACCCTCAGTCTTGGTGAGTGGAGCAGAATGATGCAGGATCTCATCACACTTCTCAAGGTGTTTCACAAAGGGAAACTTAAGAATTCTTTATTTCTGAAGTTTTCCATTTAGTACTTCTGTGCCATAGCTGATCATGGGTGGCTGGAACCACAGCAAGCAAAAATACGGATGGGGAACAGGGCAGAGGGCGAGGTGGGGAGAGCGGCACGAGGAGGGTTGCTGTGTGTTTCTTTGTTATGAGGTGAACAATACAAGGCTGTGCTTTCAGAAATTCCAGTAGTTGTATTTACAGAATAGAACTTGCCCAATATTGAAAATCTTTCTGCAAGTAACTTAACATTTCGAAGGGTGTGGTATTTGGAGCCAGAGGTATACCGCCCCATCCAACCCATACTTGTGTGCTAACCCAACAGCTGTTCTCCTGAATGGCTCCTGATTTTGGCTGAATTATGGAATTCCTACAGGGGAAAGAAAACTCTCAATTTTTATACTTCCTGTACAGTTTATCTACAATCCAAATTTAGCAGATTGTCAATAAATGTGTTTAAAGAAATTTGCTTGAATGTATGTCAGTCTTTCTCTGAGGACAGATAAGTGGATAGCCAAAATGGAAAGTTACAAGGTGTCTTGAATTTCCATTTTAAAAAGAACTCAGGCTTCCTTTAAAGTTTTGTGGAGACTGAATGACAGTTTTGAGCTGAAATTCAGTGTTATACGAGGAGTCAGGCAGCTTGGATTCACATTCTGGTTCACCTACTACAAGACCTGAGACCATTAGCACCCTTATTGATAGCTCCATTGAGCTTTTGCCTTCCTCAGAGCATCCTTGAGCTGCTCCACGTAGATGGGAGAATGTGAAAGTGCGTGAAAACTACAGTGGGTTGTCGAAAATAAGTTACATTATTCCCAAACAGATGACTCCATTCTGAATACATAGGACAATTGACAATGTGATTTCCCATCCTAATGCCTGCCTGATAATTAGTATATGGACGTGTTGGGCTTTAGCTATTGAGCTTTTAAATAATTGAATACTGACAAAAGTTTTAAAATCACTTTTAATTTTATTTGCAAGGCAGAGAGACAGAGGAGAGGGAAAAAGATCTTTCATCTACTGGTTCACTCCCCAAATGCTGGCAACAGTCTACGCTGGGCCAGGCTAAAGTCAAGAATATGGAACTCATTCCAGTCTCCCTCATGGGTGGTACTTGTACCATTACTTGCTATCTCCCATGGTGCATATTAGAAAAAAGCTGGAGTGAGAGACAGCTGGGACTCAAACCCTGGCACTTTGATAGAGGATGTAGATTCCCCAAGTGGCATCTTAAAATCACTGTACCAAATGCACAACCTATAGAAAAAAGTAATTGTAAAAAAAAAATTGTAACTGCAGTATTGAGCATCATTTAAATTTTAATAAATAGAACTACTGCAGTCTTTTAATTATATATGAGCTTTTAAAAAGTTGAAGATGCTTTGAGAGGGAAGATTAAAAAATAGAAATTTGAGGGCGGACCAGTGAATATAATTTCTTAAAGAATTGGGTAATCTTTGGAAGACTCCTTTAATATGTGAAATCTGTTTAATTGTAAGTTTATGTAAGCATACATCTGTTTCACAAATCCTCTTTGGCCTTATTGGGTGCAGGTTCTCTAAAATCCCTGAGGAGGTAGTTAACGGATGGATTATTGAAGAACAAAGTAGGCTGCTTAGGTTTCAAAGCCTGATGCATTGAGGGAGATATCCATTGTTACTGCAGTCTCGCACCAGAGTTCAAGTCATTAACCATGAACCTACTCTGCCACAGATTCTGAGTCGGAGCAGTCCCTGAGTAGGCTGGAAGCAGTGACAGCACAGTCCCTGGACAAGGAAGGACAGCACCTGAGCAGTTGCAGACCCAGGATGTCTGAGGGGAAGGACTGTGGCGGTGGAGATGCTCTCTCCAATGGCATCAAGAAACACAGGTAGGGGACCCTGTAACACTAACTGCTGCTGGCTTTCTGTTGTAACATAAATTTGGCTTCTTGAAGAGATGTGGGACATCCTCTTATGTACTGGGTATCTGTACTACCATATCACCTCCGAGAAGGGATTTTAACTTCAGTACTTTCCTCTTCATTCATTGAAGATATTATCACCAGTAATTGTAGGAACAAGGCATGTTTGGGTTTTGGCGGCTATGTCCTCAGGGAAGCATTTAAGTCCTTTGGTTGGCGATTTAGAAAGGTTATTCAGTGCGTGTTCCCTTTTTCATCTTTTATGACTCTGCCTCCCAATGCTATTTTAGTTTCTAGTTATCTGATCTGATCTTGTTGGTTTTGTTAAGAATGAATGGTAATATTGGCAGTCTATTGACATGGATTAGTTAAGTTTAAAGTTATTCAGACCCAGGGTTTGCTGAACATACCTATTTTATACTGCCTCATAACGTTAGTGTGGTTTTATTCCCTTGCTGGTTTAGTCCTAGAGGTTGTCCCAGTTGAATGCAGTGTAACAGACACCTCAGGTCTCTGGTTTCAGCACATGTTTACAGACACAGAGGCTTATGTATGTACTGATACTCATATCATAAAATTCCTTGTAAATTGTAATTATCAGTGCAGGAAGGATCATGCTGTCATCATAAAAATCATTTTTGGGTAAGGAGTTATAAATGGTTGATTTCTACAGGACAGCTGTTTTGTTTAATAGTTGCAGATTGTGTAACTAACTCCATTTTGTATACTATGGTTTTAGCCACAACTGGTCTCAACTGTTCTAGAAAAAGCAAATACATCACTTCTCTGGTTTATGAACATTTCTCATGCAAACAAAATTCTGTTTATAATTATTTCTAAACGATAGTTTGGGTAATTAAGAGAAAGGCAATGTTTTTTTGTTGGGTTAGAGGCTGTTACATGAACTTGCTGGTAAATGGTTGTCTTTGAGTTCACCGTTGCACATTTTGTGACTGCCAGTGAATGTCTTTCCTGATTTCCTTGTGCAGTCACTGTGAGCTCTGCTGAAGTCCAGGACATGAACTACCCAACAGTAAACCTGAGTGGTCTACTAGGTTCTGAAGAGCAGGCAACCTTTAACTCAGCACAGATGAGAGTACTTCTAAATGTTTGTGGGAAAACAGAATTAAAAGATAAGTTTGTTATGGTGCAGATGTTTTTTGAAATCCATGCATAGTTTTTCATTAACATACATTTTCCATGAACTTTTTGAATTACCCTCATACATCATGCCAACCCAGTGAGAACACAGGTTAGTTAACAGATGAGATCTTTGAAAAGTTCCCAGAAGTATACGGATACTGGCTATAATTATGAAAATACAAGTGTGAACTCAGTCCTTAGGTGCTGTCCATGCTGTGACTTGGGGTTTCTTGGCTGATTTTCAGGACCTGGAAGCCCTTTTGTATGTGTGCTACTGTCATGACAATAGTTATTTTGCATTGGACAAAGTTACATCATATTCATATATTCTATATTCCCTTTTAGTTAAGCCAAAATGGTACAGATGTGAAAGCTAAGATGAAAATGTTCAAAAAAAATGAAATTAGGACATAATCACTAAGGAAAAATACAAAAAAATGCAACTAAATAGGGATCTAACCAGAAAAGCTAAAGTAATAAACAAGATGCATCTGTTAAAAAAAAAAGTTACTGATTTTATTTGAAAGTGCTCTTCCACTCACTGGTTCACTCCCCAAAGGCCTATAGCAGCCAGGGCTAGACCAGGCCTAACCAGGAGCCCAAAATTCCATCCAGGTCACATACATGGGTGGCAAGGACTTAAGTACTTGAGCCGTCATCTACTGTCTCCCAGGTGTGCATTTGTAGGAAGCTAGAATCAGAAGTGGAGCTGGGACTTGAACCCTCATAGGATGTAGGTGTCCCAAGCAGCTTCTTAACTGCTCTGCCAAATGCTCATCCCACAATGGACTATTTTTACAAAGTAGCTTTTATAGTAGTTTCTAAAAAGCTGTTTTTTTCCATAAAGTTCTCCTCTAGTTAAATTAACAGTAAATACTAAATATAATTAAAAAGTTAAATTTGACAATAGGGAAAACATTGCCAGTGTTATCAGATCTCTCTTGCCTGCACCCTAAATTGCATTATTAGTAATCTATGTTTATAATAGGCAATTGTTATATTGCTATGAATAATTTGTATTGGTTTTTGTTTTGGTGATGTTTTAGAAGATGGGGAATGGCTCAAAGTGATCATGTACTTTAAATCTTCTATTTTATCCTTAAAGTTTCTGTGAAATATGTCTTGACTTTGCAATATATTTTTTAATATTGAAATATAATTTACTCATTAACTTTCTAGTGAAAAGTCTTGACTCACCACTATCCCATACTTCCAGTTTACCTCTTGCCTGTTAAATACATACTTTATAGTTTAGGAAGGGAGATGTGGGAGTATATTATAAAATGTAGGAAAGAAACAGTATATTTTTAATGGGAAATGAGAATACTTAGAAATTATGGTTCATATATAAAAGATTAAATCCTGACCAAATTAATTTGCTAATACAGTAGAACAGGAGTTTTCAACCTTTGTTCTTTTTAAGCTATGTAACCATTTTTGCAATAGAAATTTAATTTAGAAATTGCTAAAAAAGCCACCATCTTCATTTGATGGCGCCTTTTCCCAGGAAATACATCAACTTGCTTTATGTAAAACGAGTCTACACCATGCTGTTGTCTTGTTTATCTTTAGGGGACTGAATTGTCAACTGTATTCTGTAGGAGAAATCTCTGCACTTGGACATAATTTATTAAATTTATTATGAGTGCTCATCTTCTAATGTGTTAGACATTTTGCCCAAGGTGTTATATTTGGTATCTTTTATTTTTTAAAGGATTATTTATTTGAGAGGCAGAGTTACAGATAGAGAGACAGAGAAAGAGGTCTTCCATCTTCTGGTTCACTTTCCAAGTGGCCACAATGGCCAGAGCTGAGCCGATCCAAAGCTGGGAGCCAGGAGCTTCTTAAGAGTCTCCCACGGGGGTACAGGGGCCCAAGCACTTGGGCTATCTTCCACTGCTTTCCTAGGCCATTATCAGGGAGCTAGATGGGAAGTAGAGCAGCCGGGACTTGAACGGGCACCCATACGGGATACCAGTGCTACAGACGGTGGCTTAATCTGTTACACCACAGCACTAGCCCTTGGTAAAGATACTGATATTTATTTCAACCATGTCATTTGATACAGGATAAAGGGTACTAATGTGGAGTATATTAGTCAGAATCTGAAAATGTTGGATTCATGCTAGGATTTTATAAATGTCATTTACTGTATTAATAGCATTTATAGATTAAAGGAGAAACCATATAATCATCCTAGTAGATTGAAAAAGTCAGTACAATTAAATTGCTATTTATAATTAATAAGTATTTTAGCTAACCACAGTAGAAGAGAATCTCTTTAGCCTGGTTGAGTTACAACAAATTGCTTGATGAGATATTCAAACAGTTCTTACAAGATGCCTGCTCTTACCATTTCTATGCAGTATTGTTTGGAGGCATAGTACACACCCACAATTTAGAAATAAACAAAATTGTCATTACCCATAGGTGGTGATGTGTGATTGTCTGCTTAGATAGCTTATAGTATCCGTAGAGACGTCATTAGAGTTAGTACGAAAGTTTGGTAGGATTACTTTATAAAATCAGCCAATTACATTTCTATGCACCATCAACAGAAACTGCGAATAAAACTGGCATAAAGAGGTATTTTAGAGCAGGTATTAAAAAGCTACATACATGGAAATAAATCTTAACAACAAACTTACTGAAAGACACAAAACTTACTGGAAAGAAAAATTCATGAGCATGGAAGATTTTTCCACAAAAATGTTCTGCTGAATTGATCTGTATACTCAATGTAATTTTAATTAAAATCACAATGTCCTTTTCCATGGAAGGTGGAAATTGGATTCCAAAATGTATATTTGAGTACAAAGGACTTTGAGGAGTCAAGATACTGCTCAGGAGTCTGGTCAAAGGAAAACAAGGCAGTTTCCCTGTCAGATGTCTAAGCTGATGATGAATCTTTAGTGTGGAATTGTCCTGCAGGCAGACTGACCTATGGGTTGGAACAAAAAGTCCCAGGGCCCCCCACATGTAAGGAAACCTAGTATATGTGATAGCACTAGCACCACAGTTAGTTATGGAAAGAACAGATGGTTTGGTAAATGGCATTTGATTATTCCCTTGATCTGGAAATAATACGTACATATGAAGTCTAGATGAATTGGACACTTACATGTAAAAGGGTAAAGTTAAATACTTTTCATCTGAATTTAAACTAAAGTCTTCTATAGCAAATGTGGCTAAACATCTCAAAGGTTTATTTTGCTGAAATGGTAGGAGTCCAGATGATTATTTAGCTTTATTCCATTCTTCACTGCTTTAAAGTTGAATTTGTAGGAGCCACAGTAAAAGGAGTAAAACAGTTGCCTTCTGTGTGTGAAGAATGCATACATGGAATGCACTGACAAATTGAAGTCAAGCAGAGATTGCAAACACCAGCTAATACAGTATCTTCCAGGAGATAAGATTAGATTGAGAAAATGGTGGTGGTGGTGGTAAATAAAAAGTATTCCATTCTGAATATATTTAATCAGTAGAATAAAACCACCTTGGTTTTGAAGTGTTACTCCTCACAGATATGGTCTGCCTCAGACTTGATTAGGTCAGTGTGCACATTTGGTAATGATTCACCCCACCCAAAGATCCCATGGCTCCCTGGGCAGAAAAACTCTATCAGGACACTTTTGGGGTAACTCCTGCTGGTTACATAGTGATGAGCACTGAATCAACATCTCTTGAGTTTCAAAAGGACCCAGGAGGTTCGAAGGGCTGCAGTGAGCAGTGGTCCAGAGACCTTGGGAGTCTGCTGCCCTCAACTCACCCCGTCTTTTCCCTGATCCAGAGACCTTGGGAGTCTGCTGCCCTCAACTCACCCC